TCCTCATGGACCCAACCTAACTGGAGGCAGGAGGGCGAGGGAGCCCATTGGCGCAGTCTGTATGGAAAGCCATAGAGAAAAGAGCAGAGAACGGTAGGAAGAGAGTAGATTCTGGAAAGACAAAGGGAACATTTCTTACCCATACATTATTTCATTTAATCCTCACAATAGCTTCATGAGGTAGATCTTTTTATTATCTCCGTTTCATAGATGAGGATACTGAAGGCTAGAGAGGTTAAGAACCAGCACTTTTTAAAGATCAAATTTACAAAATCAAATGGATATTACATAATGGATCTAGGATTTGAACTCAGGCTTGTCTGATTGGATTTCCCACTGTAGTTAAAAAGATCTTAGCTTAAACAAGCAACTCTGCAGTTGGCCATCACCACCAGTTGATTAGTTTGTTGTCTGATCAGTCCAGTTGTCAGTTAGTGGTGTACGTTGCATAAGAACAGCTTCTATCAACCGTTATTTTTACACTCAAGTAATGTTCGCATTGTATATTTTATATAGTACCTAATCACCTTTGTTTTAAGTAGATATTTGACAATGTCCAACTGAAGAGATTCTGTGAATGAAATGCCCAGCATATAATGTCTATTCCTTTAAAAGGCATGATGGGACTATGGCTTTGGTAGGTTACTATGGTACAATTTACATAACCAGAACTTGTGTGACAAATAGACGACATATTCACATGCAGTGACTGGGTATTCTGAAATCTTAAATTAGGCAGAAAGAAGTTTTATTGTGACCTAGCTCCAAGTCCGTGGTCTGGCAAGGCCCTTGCACGTGTGAGGTCCAGGGCACTGGGCCAGGGTTTCTTAGCTCTTTAAAATCCTTTCTTTCTTCTGTGCCAAACCAACCCTGAATTTGGAATATGGCTCTCTTTGGGGGGTGGGGGGCATAGTCTATCCACTGAGGATCTCTACCAGCTCAGAAGCTATGTTTCTACGATTTTCATGTTGAAAAGAGTTTTTCCCCAAATATGAAATTATTAAAAATTTAACATACCTTTTCAAACTAATACCTTCTCCCATTCTAAAAGGGCCACCCTTCACTTTGCAAGATTGCTGCCCCAGAGCCAGTTCTGTTTCTTCCTTTTTCATCTTTTCTCCATTTATCCACTCTCCAATCATCTAGCATCATATTAAACATATAGCATGTGCTAATAAACACTAGAAAATGTGATCTGGCTGATTTAGAATCTAAGCTGAGGCTTGCCAATAACTACATGTAATTCATCTGACCTGCTTCACCAAGTCTTGGTAAAAATATGGCTACATGCTTTTATTTCTTCAATTAGTTGTTTGGGTATCCCCTTCTCTAATTATCAGTAAGTCTAGTATCTCCTTTATAAGGTTCCCCAACCCTATTGCCTAAGAATCCTGAGGGTTTCCTCAGTTCAAAGGGAGCCAAAAAGGTAACTGAGTCTGAGGGATCTACCACTGCTGTTGCTTCTTGCTGTCACTTGGTGTCACTGTTGAAGACAGGTCCTATACGGTTCAATGGAAATAGTGTCTACCTCACAGAGTTGTACGAATTAAATGAGCAAATGCATTTAAAGTGCTTAGCATTTAGATGGATACATGGTACTAAGTAGGCACTCAAAGGTTTAGCTAGTATGTTATTGGGCCTCAGTTTTATGTGTTATGTAGGGCCTAGACCAGAGGATCGCTCAAAGCATCCCAGCTTTGGCAAATGGTGAGGAATAGGTGGGGGCCTTGGTCCTCTGCAGGCCAATAGATAGCATGAAGGCTCAGTTAGCCCAGTCCCTGTCCCTTCCTGGAGCCTCTGGCTATCTTACATTGTCCTGAAGTTGGTTTGTCCCTAGTATGTGGAAGAGGCAGAACCTGAAGAGCATAGAATTCCTTATAAATCAAATGATTTGTTCTGGCTCAGAGAAGAAGGAGAGGTTTTTCTATTGTAATATGGGGTGTCCAGACTGAAAAAATATTGCCTCAGATCATATGGCCGGTTGGTGGTAGCTGGGCTTCAACCAAGGTCTTACTGAATAGTGATAGCTGGGCTTTAACCGAGGTCTTCCTGAATGCAGAGCTTGACCCTCAACTCGGGGTATTCCACCTTGCTTTGGAAGGCAATGCTCTGGAGAGCAAGGCTGTGGCTCGTTTATTTTTGCATTCTCCCCATTCCAAACAGAGTGCTTTGTACAGAACAAGAAATACTCCTTCTTCATGTCAACTTCTGTTAAAGAGAATCACATGTGCACGCAGGCACACACAAGCACACTCATTCACTTAGGAATTCGCTCTGCTTTCCATCTCTTTGGTTCTCCCTCTTTCCTACTTCCAGGCCATAATAATTAAGAGCAAAATGCACAGTGCATATAAACCTTTTCTTCACCTCTGAGTAACTATTGTTGCTTTACACCTTTCTCTGTCTCTGCTTTAATTACCAGATTCCACGACCTCCGGAACACATCTTTCTTGGAAAATGGCAACACCTTATCTCTTTAATAAACTTTGCGACTAGCGTATAAAATATCTCCAAATAGTAATTTATTTTAGATCATGTGAAAAAGGTTCACTGTCTACATATATTAAAAGGCGATGAATCATTTAACACAAACTAATCCCATTTGCCCATCCACTTGCCTATTTGGGTTGTGTCCTAAAAGTCCATTCATGAGTCAATTTATTTGTTTCTATGGGGAACTACATTATCTATTATACCATCTTATATAGTATTATGTATTATGATATATAATAGTGAATAATAATAGCAGTAATAAAAGCTACAATTTATTGAGTACCATGTACATTTACACATATTATCTGTGTTTTTCACAACAGCCCTGCAAGATACTTACCCATTTTACAGTTGAAACTGAGGTTCAAATAAGTTAAGGAACTTGCTTTTAAGCACACAAAGTCAAATATGTTTCTTGCCCCAACTATAGCTCCTGCAAAAGTGGCAACGATAGGCCACCCACAGCTTCCCTCACCACATCTGTTGGGCCCCAGGGTGGGCACCTTCCCCAACATCAGCCAATCCTGGTTGTGGCCTGATTTGAAAAAGATGAGCTTGGTCAATCTGATTCTCCCTTAGGAATTTGAATTGGGGAACACGGAAAGAAGCAGTAAGTTGGTAGGAGCAGGAGCTGCTACTGAAAGGCACGATCAGAAGTTGTTAAATGAGTGTTGTGAAGAGAGGCTTAGGAGGCCATGATGGGCCAAATTCAAGCTGAAGTTTTGGGGAGTGGAAGGAACTCGGGTAAACGAGGTGGAACAGAAACAGTCACGTGCAGAGAGCAGCCAAGTCAGTGCAGAGCAAGCACTCTGGGGCAATGTTCTGCCCCTTCCCCCTTTTCCACAGTTTCAGTGCCAAGGTAGCCTTAAAATAAATCCTTCATCCCTTGAGCCAACTTTAGTGCGTGTAGGTTCCTTTCAACCAGAAGAGCCAAATTAGAATTTGTGACCAGTAAGTGCTGGAAAGGGAGTTTGAACCCTGGTTTTGTGGCTGCAGAGTTTCTGCTCTTGTCACTGCACCCCTTTGCCACATTACAAATGCTGTTCCGGACCACCACAGTGTGTGAGGTCAACTTAATGTATCTGAAAAAGAACCAATAATGGACTCAAGTTTCCTGAATCCTTGTCCCAAGTCTTGGTTTGCTTCTAGAGCCCTGAAGGAGTGGGTGGGGGCTAAGAAAGTCTCAGACCACGGGGAGGTCTCCAAACAAAACTGGGGCAGGACTCCAGCTTCCACGGTGGAAGGTGCTGCAATGGGGAAAGAGGGTGGGGGCAGGGCCGGGATCGAGTCTCATCCGTGCAGAGAACTGGGGCTCTTCAATGGCAGGGATTGGTTTTATCCCTACTTCTGTTCGCAGGGCCTAAGATAGTGGCTGACGTATATTTGAATGCGTGCACGTGAATGAATAAGTGAATGGCAGAAGTGGGTCCCAGCCCCTGTTCAAATGTATGGAGCATTCTTTAGTCTTCTCAAGTTAAGGAACACCTGTCTCCATCTCTAAGAATTCATGCAGCACTGTGAATAATGTTTACAGTGAGTAGTTAACTTCAGCTTTAAAAATAACAAAGATGATGCAGTGGTGATTGTGGTAATAGCATAGTTCAAAGACTACAGATGGACAACTCTGGATTGCATTTCCCTTGTTTATGAAAACACCATTCGCTTTGTCTTCCTCTGCCTGGAGAGAGTGAGGTTTTCATTTTAAGAGGCTGACTACAAAATGCAGGGCCACTTCCTGGGCAGGCTTCCAAGTGACTACATCTTTCTCAGAGCGTTCCTCAGATCCCTAGTCCAAACTGCCTGAGGCGGGGCCTCCAGCCATTGGCGGCTGTGGAAGCCACCACAGGAACAGTTAGTTGTCTGCAGCCTGCCGGAATTGCTGTGCTTTCAGGCCCTGCCTGGGCACAGATAACGGCCTCGGCCTTTGCACCGAAGAGACGTCAGAGTTTGTGATTGGCCAGGCTGGCGTATGTGAAATACAGATGTTGTGCCGCGCTTCTGAGTATGGCATTCCTTCCGGCCGAGGCCCCTGGGCGTGGGTGAGTCTAAATGTTTGAAGACTGCCCTGGTTGGTTGTGAAATGTTCAAAGCTGGGCATTGTGACTTGCCAAGGGCATGATTTAGCATATTTCTTAACCCTGCTGAGCCTCAGTTTCCTTTTTGTGAAATAGGGATAGCATTATCCTATACCCTAGGATAGAAATATCTATCCATCACAGGGGGTTGTGAGGCCTAAAAGAGATGATGCCAGAGTATCTCATCTGGTACCTGGTATGCAGCAGACACTGAAGAGCTCTTATTCTTTCCGAAGCATCAGTTAAAAAAAAAAAAAAGTTTCGGTGAAAATGCCCCGTCTTTATTTCTAAGAGTACAATATTTCTCTGAGAGATTCAGTGGATATATTCTACTTCTTAATCATACCTGTATAGCCAAGAGAAATGAAACTTCAGTTTAGTGCCAAAGGAAAGTTTGTCAGACTGTATTCCCTTTCTTTTTTTCCCTTCTAGACCCTGACTGCACCTGCCCCATTTGCCGATGAAACCAGCTGCCAATGCCAAGCACCCCATGAAAAACTGACCATTGCTCAGGCCCGCTTAGGAACACCAGGTGAGGCTGTACTTCTTGTTTCCCAAATGGGCCCTGTTTTGACATTGAAAGTATCAGAAAGGCTCGTCATTATTTGAGCAGCACTTGCCTTCAATAGGAGAGTTGAATGTAGAGATTCTAGCACAGTGCAAGAGGGGTAAACACTAACCAGTGATAAACTAGACCGACCAAAGTGGGCGAGTAAAAGATGCAACAGAATACAGGAGCTTAAGCCCCAGCTTTGCCACTTACTAGTTCGACAGCCAGAGGCAAATCACTGGAAAGATCTGAATCTGTTTCTTCATGTGCAAAAAAGAGACAACAATATCTACTCACAAGGTTTTTGTGACAACTAGATTCGGTTAAAAGTACCAAAGCATTGTTTTAAACTGTGAAAGCTTATGCGAACCTAGGCTACTATAATCATTACCATTCTTAAAAGTCTATGTTTTTAAAAAAAGTTTCAAGTGTGCCCTAAGAAGAGTGGGCTCTGCTATAGAAGTTTGTTCATTCATTCATTCTTTTAGCATAGGATGGATGAGGAAGAGATTTAAAAAGAACTATAAGGTACTATCTCTGTTTCCCAAGAGTTTTCATGATAATTACAGAGACAAGACAACTAGATATGAAATGAAACTCACAAGTATCATACGTGTACATGCTTAGGGGTTAAATCCTGCAACACAGATGATAACTGACAGTTTAGAGAAGGGCAGATTCATTTGGCCTGGAGCAGTCAGGCAAGACATCAGGAAGGGAGCAGAAAAGAGCTGACACTTTGGGGAGAAGTAAGATTTGGACTGTGTGGGCAGAAAATGGAAAGGTATTCTGGGCAGGTAGAACAGGAATGGTGAAGGCACAGAGATAGAGAGCTGTGTAGGAGTAAATGAGTGTCATTCCAGTTGATTGGGATGGACTAGGTGAGCAGGTAAGCTTTGAGCCATTTAAGATGGCATAACTTGATGATTTCCACTTGCCATTGCAAAAACCAAACAACCCAAACCTAAAAGAATCCATGGGACAAAGGACAGTTTGCTTAATAACAGCAGTGGCTATTTATTAAGTGCTTCTATATATCATGTCATTTCACTATCACAACTCTGTGATTAGTACTTTTAGTATTTTACAGATGAGGAAATGAAGGCTTAGACAAGTTGTGACTCTGCACAAGGTCATTCAGTTAGTAAGTGGCGGTGGTTCTCACAATTAAGCATGCACCAGAGTCCCCTGGAGGGCTTGTTAAAACACAGATGGCTGGGCTCCCATCCTCGAGTTTCTGAATTGGTCCAGCTGGGGTGGGACCCAAGAAGTTGCAGCTCTAACAAGTTCCCAGGTGTTGCTGCTTCTCAGGGGTACCACACTTAGAGAACCACCGGTGAGTGGTAAAGCTGGGCTTTGATCTCAAATCTGTTTGTAGTAGAGCTTGACCTCTTAGCCATGACACTCTCCTTCCTCTAAGAATAGCCTTCAAAAGAGTGAAGCGAGAAGGAGAGTGGGCTGAGTTAGTAAGCTTTTTCGTGGGCTTCTTTTGATGAAGGCAACAAGAAGCTTGGGGAAGTAGTTCAGAGCAGCTAAATCAGTTGTTCCCAGACTTTAGTGTGCAAAGAATCACCTGGTAAACGTGTTAATGCAGCAGATTTTCTGTTCCACTCCTCCCCACCCCCAAATCTGGGATGGGACCCAGGCATTTGCATTTTTAACCAACAGCCAGGGTGATTCTAAAGTTAGTAGTCTAGACATCACATACTGAGAAATATTGACCCAGCAATAAATCTAAGGGACGTCAAATCACATGAAAGTCCAGGTGGTTATGAAGAGAACAGATTTGACTTAAAGTTAAAGAATGAGCTTCAAGCCCAAGCAGAAAGGGACCCTACTTTTCTAGGGAAAGGAAAGTAGAACTTACTGCGTATCTGCTTGGTGTGATGCTCTGTACTCTATCTCATTTAATCCTTGCAAAAACCGTGCGAGATAGGTATTATTGTGTCCTTTCTACAGAGGAGGCAAACAAGACTTGGAGAACTGAAAAGTAACTTGTCAAATGTCCCAGCTGAATGGGTAGAGCTAGGATTTGACCCCGAGTCCCCGTCACATCAAAGCTCTGCTTTGCCCAGCACAGTGGGCTGCCCTGAGAAGCACGATCCATAGCAGGCCATGGAGCTCAGTGAAAGCACACTCAGCTTTGAGCTGGAGGGTGGAAGATATGTGAACAAAACAGACAGGCAGTAGCTGTGATCTTCTATAGTGGCAGGACCATCTGCCATGTTCACTGCTGTTTCACCAGCACCTAAAGAAACACTTGTCACATACTGTGTGCTCAGTATTTTGTGAGCGAATGAATGAATGAATAAATGAAAATTTGGGACAAGAGAAGGAGTTTGTTCTGTGGAAATAGAAGCAGAGGGAGTTTGTTCTGATCCTTTGAGCCAGCACGAGCTATTATAATTGGGTGAAATTGAGCACCTATGCATTGCTTAACAGCCAAACAGTTTAAACCCAGAGAATCAAGCCAGAATAAGATGGTCGAGATAGCTGTGTGGTGGGCTTTTTGGAACACAGCTCACTATAGAGGGAGTGAGGTAGAGCACAAGCGAACTTCTAATCTTTAGAAGAGGAATTCTCCTGTCTTATCTGATGACACTGGGAAGTTATCTAAGAGTATTTGTGATGTTGATAGACACCTAGGGGAACTTCTGTTAGAAATTCCTTTATTTAGAACTTCTAATAGCAGTGTTAAATTGTAACAAGAAGTTAGTTCTTTCATTACCTGGAAGGCACCTATTAGTCGTAGACCACACTCTGATAACTGTTATTTTATTAGAACAGCAGTTCTCAAACTTTGGTGTGCTTAGAATCCCTGGGAGTGCTTGTGAAAACACAGACTGTGGGCTCCACCCCCAGAGTTTCTGAGTAAGTCTGGGGTGTGGCTGGAGAATTTGCATTTTTAACAAGTTCCCAGGTGCTGCCACTGCTGCTGGTCCTGAGACCACACTTTGGGACCCACTGCTTAACAGTAACCATTAGCAGTGGTTGGAGGGAGTGGCAGGGAGATTATAAAAACATAATAGTTGGAGCATTGTACTGTTAGCAGAAAAGCTCAGGGAGTTTTTAAAAATCTTGCTGTTCGACTACTATTTGAGCAAACAAGAAAAACATTATTACTATTTTTTGAAGGTTTTGGTCATTTTCAGGAGTAGTAAGAAATTATCTCTTTGCAGTGCTATCTCGAGCATTCCACTAAAAAGGCAAGACAGAGTGGAATTTGGTGTTTATGACGCTCTTCGAGATTATAGTTATAACTGAAGTCTCTCGCTATCTCCTACACTAGCCATAGTTTGTAACTTTATACAATTAATTGCCTACAATATGTTTCACAAACTTAAGTCTGCCCAAACAGGGGCTGGGGCATAAATTCTAGAAGAGGTAATGACAAACTTTGCTCATACCTCTTAGCTCCTTGACCTCATTTGTGAGGTTACAGTGGTGATGAAACTTCAAGAGAAAGAAAAGAGTAGAGTTAAAAAGCAATCGGAATTAGTGCCTTTGGTCTTAGCTAGTCCGGCGGTGGAGCTATGAACTTATATGGTATTGTATATATTCTGGGGCACAGAGAATCGCTCCTCTATCTTGGCATAAAGGAAAAGTCCAAGAGATTGTGTCAGAGCTTCCTTTTCATTAAAGTTGACTTTTTTTTTTTCTTAAGGGAAACTCAGTTCTGATTTTCTATTTTCCTTCTCAAAAGGAGATTTGTATTAATCTATTTCCATAGTGTGTAGAATTTCCCAGACTTCAATTTCCAAGAGCCACCTTAATGAATTTTGCCTTATTTGTGTACTACTTGTGCTATAATTTACTTAATAATTTTCCTTTAAACATACTTTTCTAAAACTTAAATTTAATGTATTTAAAAAGCAAACATCAATCATTATCATTTTTACAAAATAGTATCACTGGCTATAAGTAGAAGGTAACTATAATGTTTATATAAAACCATATAAATTTTACAAAATAAATATGTAACTATTAGATTTTAAAAGGTTAATTTTGTGTCACCTTTTTTATACATCAGTTACATACAAAACAGTGCTAGTTACCATAATTATTGGGAATTTAGTAATAGTCTCTATTTTGCTTTAAAGAAAATAATCCACATCAGCATGTAGTTTTCTAGCAGACACCACAAGGCAGAGGAAAGAGCAGTAAAGTCTGGTTGGCACTCAGATATCATCATAAATTGGTTGTGCGACATTGCGTAAGCCACTTAACTTTGCTGAGCCTCCATTTGCCCCTCTATGAAATGACAATAGTGAATCCACATTCTCCTAGCTACCTCATAGGGTTGATGCAAAGATTAAGTGAAATATATGCGCTTTGTAAATTGTATGTATTTTTAAGACACTATTCAAATGCCTTAAAATAGCCATAATCAAAGCTTTGTTAATAGCCATAATCAAAGATGAACAATCACCCTTTTATTGTTGTTTGAATCTGAAGCAAATACCAAGAAATGCCTAACATACCCCACAATTGCATGAATTCAGATGTAATGCAGTTGGTGATTGCCTCCTGTCTGGCTGTAGGTATGTTTAACTTTTTAACTAACTGACAAACTGCTTTCCAAAGTGATCGTACCATTTTACATTCTCACCAGCAGTACGTGAGAGTTCCAGTTGCTGTACATTGTCACCAACACTTGGTATGGTTGATTTAAAAAAAAAAAAAATTTAGCTATTCTAGTGGGTATGAAATGTTATCTCACTGAGGTTTTAATTTGTATTTTCCTAATGACTAATGATATCCAGGATCTTTTCATGTGTTTATTTGCCACCCATATGTTTATTTTCTTTGATGAAGTGTCTGTCCAATTTTTTGGCCTTATTTAAATGAGTCGTCTTATTATTGAGTTTTGAGAGTTCTTTGTATATTCTAGGTATAAATCTTATACATATATAAAATTTGCAAATATTTTCTCCCTGTCTATGACTGACTCACCTTTTCCTTTTTGTAAAAATGTCCTTTGAAGAGCAAAAGCTTTAAATAAAATCCAATTTATCTTTTTTGTTGTTTTATAGTAGAGGTCCTGTTTAAGAATGTTTTGGGGTCCTATTTAAGAAATTTTGCCAAACCAAAGGTCACTAAGATTTTCTCATGTTTTCTTCCAGAAGTTTTATAGTTTTAGCTCTTTAGGCATATGATCCATTTCAAGTTAATTTTTGTATGTGGTATAAAATGTGAGGTAAGCTAGCCCCCTTCACTGTTCCATTTACTTATAAGTGCTGAATAACTTATAAAAATTTAGAATGTAAGATTCAGGAAGCTAAAATGATCAAATTTTTCCCACAAAACTGTATCATGATCATTATTTGTGTCCATGATCCTCAAGTAAATATTCACCATCATTTTGGTGTTACATGTAATTCACTATATTTAAATTATCTGAAACATGGTAACCAGCATGTGGTATACAGACATGCACTTTCCCAGAACATCACATTTATCTGATACACTTTACTGTGGCCATTCAGGATAAACAGGAACTTACTTGAAATTCTTTTCAAAATTTATACTAATCTGTGGGCAGAAAGACTATAATGCCATTGTATTAGTTTTCTGTGCTATATAACCTATTACCACAGACTTAGCGGGTTAAAACAACACACATTTATTATCTCATAATTTCCATGAGTCAAGAGTCTGAGGCTGGCTTAGCCGAGTCCTCTGCTCAGGGTCTCACAGGCTGAATTCAAGGTGTCACCCTGGGCTCAGTTCTCATCTGGAGGTTGGCTGGTGATAGATCTGCTTCCAAGCTCGCTCAGGTCATTGGCAGAATTTATTTCCTTGTATAAGACCAAGGGTCCAGCTTCTTATTTGTTGTCAGCCAGGGGCCACCCTCAGCTCCTAAAGGCCACCTGCAGTTCCTTGCCATGTGGCCTTCTCCATAGGCCCTCTTACAACGTGGCAGCTTGCTTCCTCAAAGCCACCAAGGGAGAAAGAGAATGAGTCTGCTAGCAAGATGGAGTCTTATAACATCATGGGAATGACATTTATCACCTTTTCCATTTTCTGCTGGGTAGAGGCAAGTCACAGGTCCCACATACACTTCAAGGGGTGGGCATTACACAAAGCCAAGGATCACTGGGAGCCACCTTAACATCTGTCCACCACAGCTATGCAATAATTGTGCTCTGAGTTCTTTTTTGCTTTTAATTGATTTCTGATCACTGCCAAACCTCCAGCTTCACAGGCCCATGGTTCCCCACATAGATGCTCTGGAGAGTCCCCAGAAAAATATCAAACAGAAGATTAAAACAAATAAACATCCAGACTGACTAAAAAAGCCATGCTCTATTTTTTTAAAAAAGTTTTATTATAGAGATTTTCAGAAACACCCACAAAAGCAGAACGATATAATGAACCTTCATGTGTTTGTCACTCACACCTAACAACCACTAACCCTGGCCAGTCTTGCCCCATACACACCCCCATCCACTTTCTCTTCTTGATTTGAAGGATTTGAAACAAAATCCCGGACTTCTATCATTCTATATACATGTCTAAAAAATAAGAACTCTGGTTTTATTAAACATAACCACTATACCATTATCTTACCTAAAAATATTAACAGTAATTCTTTAATACCATCAAATATCCAGCATTCCAATTTCCAATTATCTTATGTCATCATTTATTTATAGCTTGTTTGAACCCAAATCCAAATAATGTCCATACTTTACAATAGGTTTATATGTTTTTTAAGTCTCTTTCAATCTGAAGGTCCCCCTTTTATCTCTTTTTTCTTTATCTTTCTCTTCTTTTTTTCTTGAAGTTTATTTGTTGAAGAGACAAAGAGACAAAGTTCTTTTTTTTCCCTTTTGGTCCTGTAGTTTCCCACAGTCTGGAAATTGCTGACACACCGCAATTTTTAAAAGTGAGCTTATTGCAAAATCAACTCCATAAATACTCTTCAGATTTACTAAATGGCCTTTTTCTCAGTAATTATGTCATCTTTCTTTACTTTTCTTTCCTCCCTGCTTCCTGAATTCACTTATCTTGATCACCTCTGAATCAATAACAAAAAGTTGTACAAAACTGCCATCTGCTTTCCCCTGGGGTTTATATCTTAAAACAAATTTTCCCCAATTGAATTCAAATTGAATAAGAGCATTGAAATCAAGGATCCCTCATTAGATAGTTTGTTATCTCAAAGCATTTTCTATTTACTGTGCCTTATTTAGAATACAGTATAATCCCACGAAGGCAATTGTTTGTTCAAAATAGTGTATAATTGGAAATAATTGCAATTCCCAATCTGCCATAAAGTGTCTCGAATTTTTTTATTAGAGAAATTTAATTTATTAGAAACATTGTACCATCTGAATCTATTAATGTAACGTTTCTTTATGTTCCAAATTAATGAGGTTGCATTGCATCAAGAAATAATCACAATTTTAAATCTAAAGATCATTCAACAGAATTTGGCATTGATTTCTTTCCTTTGAAAAAATTTATTTTCATAACATCAATATAATACATGCATGTATTTTAAGAAGTCAGCAGGACTCTTAGGCTTATAAAGAAAACCAGCAATCCCTTTCCCTACCCACCCACCCGAATTCTGTAGGCACGCACCACTTGACAATCAACTTTCCAAAATGTTCCTGACATCTCTAATCCATTGTCATTGGCTTTCTTGTTTTCTCTGCCCTTAGGGGGAATTATATCTTTTTAACTCTTTCTCGGTAATTTTTTGTAGTGTTTTGGGAGAAAGTGGAGATAAATGTGTATGTTCAGTTCACCATATTTAACTGGTAGTCCTCATATTCCTTTCTTTTTTTTTTTTTCTTTTTTTGAGACAGAGTCTCACTCTTTTGCCCAGGCTAGAGTGAGTGCCGTGGCATCAGCCTAGCTCACAGCAACCTCAAACTCCTGGGCTCAAGCGATCCTCCTGCCTCAGCCTCCCGAGTAGCTGGGACTACAGGCATGCGCCACCATGCCCAGCTAATTTTTTCTATATATTTTTAGTTGTCCAATTAATTTCTTTCTATTTTTTAGTAGAGACGGGGTCTCAGGCTGGTTTCGAACTCCTGAGCTCAAACAATCCACCCGCCTCGGCCTCCCAGAGAGCTAGGATTACAGGCGTGAGCCACCGCGCCCGGCCATATTCCTTTCTTAAGAACACTATTGTGGCCACATATATGTCTCTCTCCTTCTTCTCAGTGCAAGAATAAAATGCCTCTATATTCTTTGTAACTATAGAGAAGAGGTGATGGGGTGATTAAGATAAGAGCACTTTGATTACTTCTTTCTCCTGTCAGCCATTTTGGGATCCTCTTCTTGGATTTTCACTTTTGAGTTCCTTTGTTGAGAGTCTCAAAGAATATAAAAGTTGGCAAAATATATAGAATTTTCAACAAACATAACAGGCATCTTCCAGACTATCAGGATAGGGGTATATTAGAGCTGCAAACTCCTTCCTTCAACCAGTTAAAAAGAATAATTTTGTGACTTGCTTCATCCATCAAATTGAGAGAACCCTACTCCCCAATCTCCCCCTCTACCTAGAAGGGGATGGGGTCTTTGGCCTGGCTCAGCAGTAGTATCATCCTGCAGTTTCTAATGCAGTCTCTGGGTTCCCAGTGGGGGCTATGGTGAAGTGTGTCTGTCATCCTCATGGAACAGCTCTTCCCAGAGCATTGGATATCATTGCCAGAGTGTCTGTTGTGGCCTCTTCACTTTTGACCTTTCTCCCTAGGAAGGACTATGGTGTTGGTTGCTCATTTCCATCCCTGAGCACCACCCCTACATGCAACATTTATACCCTGACTCTACTCCCTCTGGGGCAGGTCGTCCCTGATCTCTTAGGGAGTGACCTTGTACACCTGTATGCTGATACATGTTCAACAACTGGCCCTCTAGTGGGAAATAAGCCAGTATTCGTAGCATTTGCCAATTTCTATGATGTAAACTCCTATCATGGCTGACTTCAGGCTACCAACATGACTTGGAGTTGGGAAGAAAGGTGCACAACTATCTCTTTGAACAATATCAGCAGACTTCAGCACATCAGTGCCTTTGAAATAGGGCCCAGGGTCTTCATTCAGGACTTCCGGACTCAAGGATGAAGTCATTTTCCCTTTCCACTGAGCTCCTCAGTTACTCCTGCCTTGATGCTCCTGCTGGGCTGACTCTGCTAGCTCAGACATCTAGAGCCCCCTCTGGGTCAAAAGAACTTCCCAGTGCTGTGCTTGTCTTTCCTATTGGCTAACAAGGTGTGTTCTGGTTTGACCTTAATTTTGTTATGATTTTGCTCTGCTTCGATGTCTTCAGAGGAACCTCTCTTTAAAATCAATTTCATGCACAAATATGAAACTGATGGTACATAGAGATTATGTCTTATCCAGGTGAACTTTCTTACAGCACCGTACTGTTGAGAGATAACTGGGATTCCTCATTCTGCAGCTCTGTTAACAGTGTTTTCTTTCTTCCACAGTTGACAGGCCTGTCCGAGTGTATGCAGATGGAATATTTGACCTCTTCCACTCAGGTCACGCGAGGGCACTTATGCAAGCAAAAACACTGTTTCCCAACAGCTACTTGTTGGTAGGAGGTAAGAAGTGTATTTTCTCTTTGTCCAGAAAACTCCTTTATAATATGCTTCCTGACAAGGACCCCTTTCAGAGTTCCATCAGTAAAATCTGACATTGTTAATGCTTCTAATTCAGCCCATACTGGCTCATTTGTTCAATGCCTGAAATTTAAAATGATGTTTAAAAAAAATATAGGGGAAATCACATCATGGGATTGTATACCCCTGATCCTCAGAGAGAGACGGACTGATATTACCACCAAAGGTAACTGTTTCACGTTTTCTATTAATGCCTTCCTCCTAGTGTTTGAAGTATGATCTAGTTTATGTTTCTAAAATTTTCCAGAGGGTTAGGAGAAGCAATATTATTCTGGTTTCAAATCTTGAAGAACTGAGGGGGCTTAGGACGATTAAGAGCAAGCAGGTCATTATCTATTTCCTTTGTGTGACCCACAGAACTTAAGATGATGTTGTGCTAACACTAGTGGCTTACAACAGCCCTAATTAGTTGAATTTATGTGCAATGTGTTAAAGAAATGAAGATTTATATATCTAGAAAATCTTGGTTCACAATGAAGAGACCGACTTACTTTTTAAGCTTATGGAAAGAGAAGGGTGGTTAGATGTGAATTGAAATTTTCCTGCTCCAGAAGGCCTACGTATTTCAATTTGGTTGAAAGGGATAGTGCCTGACTAGGGAGACCAGCATCTCAACTCCCACAGCTTCTGAAAGCAGCATATCCATTCACCGTGATGAGTTTTTGTGGCATATGAACTAGGTGCTATATAAGCCTTAGACCTCCACTGTGAGAAAAAAAGATGCTGGCAAGAGACTGTATATCTGTTATTTAAAGTATTTTGTTATCTTCTGCAATTTTAAAACTACTTTCTGCATGTTTAAGAGGAACGCTTCTGGAAATTTTGCCAAAGGTGGTGGCCACATGGCTATTGAATGGAGTTCTTTCCAGAAGGAAGAGATGGTGAAAGGCAACAGTTACTGGGCAAGTCATGCAGAGGGAACCCAAAGCAGGCAGGGGACCTGACCCTTGCTCACTTCCCTTTATCCTGAGTGGAAAACCATTTCCTGAGTGGGCATTACCACCTGGATCCTGGTCCTAGGCTACTGAGGCCCTGGGAGATCTCTGCAGCATTTGGGCTTTGGTCATCTTGGATACCTGAGTTTGGAGGTGGTTAGGTGTGGGTCACAGTTAACAAGAACACTAGCCATGGCTCTGGGTTATCACATCGAAAGTAAGATCAAAGGAAATGTGCAGCTTTCTGTACATTCTTGTAAATTGGAGAAGGCAGTAAATTAGTATCAGCAACTCTCTAGGTCATTAGGCAACAACGATTTCACTGATTCACTGAATGACTCCTTCATTTAATGACTATTTATTGAACTTGCTACATGCCAGGCATTCTTTTGTCCACTGGGGATGCAGCCATGAACAAAACAGACTGTCTATGTCCTCAGAAGACTTAGAGTCTGAGGAAGAGGCGGACCACCCACTAAACAAGTCAATATGTAGTAGTGATCCTGTGAAGAAATATAAAATAGGATAAGGGGAAAGAGTGGCTGGATGGAGGAAGGAAGGGTATTTTAGGTAGGAAGGTCAGGGAAGGCCCCTCTGAGGAGGTGACATTTGTGCAGAGAGCTGAATGAAGGGGACACAAAAGCCAGATCATTGAACCCTCCCTGTACAGCGTTCTTCTCATCAGCCAAGATCATAAAGTGGGGCAAGTAGAGAAGACATGGCGGCTACTGTGATATGTTACTTTTTTGATTTCTGTATCTTAAGGAGGCTTTTCATGGAGGCGCAGATGATTTAATACTCAGAAAAATTAATATGGGCAGGAGTTTGGAGCCAAGAATTAAAGCAGAAGAGAAGGAGAAAAATTCTGACAAGAAATCCCGAACTTCATAGCAGCCGTGCAAAGAGGGCCACACAGTCATTTTATAACTCTGAAACTCTGGGAACTGATGCTGCTCCATCAGGAAGAACCAGCTTGTCCTGCCCTAAGATCTTAGATAAGTGCTTCAGAGAGTCGCTGCATAGGGGGCACTGAGTAATCCGGTGAATGATGTCCTCTATAGCAGGTTTACAGAAATTTCAGATTAGAAATTCAGATACCCCCTCAATGGCTATTACGTATGTTCTCTGTGGAAGTCAAGGGTATGTTAAACTACCGGGATGACCATGGAGACCATATCCTTTGGTAAGTGACAGGGACTGGAGTATAAATGGAAAAATGAAACAATACTACATGAAGCTATAAAGAAATGGTGTGGAGACTTTTGGGGACAATGACAAGGTAAGAGTGAAGGCTGGGCATGGTGGCGCATGCCTGTAGTCCCAGCTGCTCAGGAGGCTGAGGCGGGAGGATCGCTTGAGGCTAGGAGCTCAAGACCAGCCTGGCCAACATAGAAGGACCTCATCTATAGAAAAAATAAAAAAATTAGCCAGGCATGGTGGCATGCACCTGTAGTCCCAGCTATCTGAGAGGCTGATGCAGGAGAATTGCTTGAGCCCAGGAGTTCGAGGCTGTAGTGTATGATGATTGCACCTGTGAATAGCCACTGTGCTACAGCCTGGGCAACAGTGAAACCCTGTCTTTCAAACAAACAAACGAACAAACACCAACCCTGGGCAACACAAACAATAATAAATAATTTCAATATGTTCTTTTCTCCACATTCTTATCATTCTTATTATCCTATTTAAAATAATTGGGTGGTAACACTATGAAATATCTTTTAACTATTCTATTGATAAAATTCAGTGGGATCCTGTATTTCATTTGTTTCCATTCATTTAATATTTGATCCTGAGTCTGTTAAACAGAGATTCCAACTTCCTGTGTGTAGGCAGACTGCTACAGAGGCATGGTGCTGGAGCTCAAATCCCATGAGTGGCATTGCTGTCAGGATGTGATTTCCCAAATGGTGAACACCTTTTGGTAAAATTGTCAACAAAACAAAGTGCAACCTTCCTTTGATATACATAGTAATTGCCTTCCTCTATAATTCAGCATCTATCAAAACTATTCCAGAAATACTTTGTGATTATAGGCAAAACAAAGGCAGATTATAGACTCGAATGATTTAAAATAATTATGCAAGGACATTCAGAAATCTTATGGGATGCAGGAAAATTCTCATGTGGAGCTGCCCCATGATTGCAAGATGTTTAGCATCATTGGCCCCTGCCAGCTAGATGCCATTAGCTTCCTCCAGTCATTACGACAGCTAAAGAGGCCCCACAAATTTCCAAAATGCTTCCTAGGAAATGATGACGCCCTTGTCAAAAACCATTGTTTTAGACTAGGAGTCTTCAAACTTTGTTCCCCACAATCCCTAAAAGAATTCTGAAAAAACTATATACATTCTTGTACATTTTAAAGTTGACATCTAAAATTTTTATCCTAACTTTAAGTAGTTATAAAAGATGTAATTTCTGGAATATTGTAAATATTAATCTTTTAAAAAAATAATACTTTATTTTTTGGGCAGTTTTAGTTTCATAACAAAATTGAGTGGAAAGTGCAGAGACTTCCTATATATCCCTTTTCCCACACACACGCAACCTCCCTCCCTATCAACATCCTGCCCCAGACCGATGCATTCGTTACAACTGATGAACCTATATTGACACATCATAATCACCCAAAGTCCATAGTTTATGGACTAAGGTTTACTCTTAGTGTTACACATTCTATGTGTTTGGACAATGTTAGAATGTAAAATGTATAATGACATGTATCCACCATTATATTAATAGTATCATATGGAGTATTTTTATTGCCCTAAAAATCCTTTATGTGCTACCTGTTCATCCCTCCCTGCCCCAACCTCTGACAAGCACTGATCTTTTTATTTTATCCATAGTTTTACCTTTTTGAGAATATAATTTCACATAATTAGAATCATACAGTATATAGCTTTTCCAGATTGGCTTCTTTCACTTAACAATATGCAGTTAAGGTTCTTCAGTGTCTTTTTATGGTTTGATAGCTCATTTCTTTTTTCCTAGTTATTTACTTATTTATTTAGGGACAGGTCTCGCTCTGTCATCCAGGGTGGAGTGCAGTGGCCCAATCATAGCTCACTGGAGCCTCAAACTCTGGGGCTCACGTGATCCTCCTGCCTCGGCCTCCCAAGGTGCTGGGATTATAGACATCAGCCACCATGCCCAGACTCATTTCTTTTTAGTGCTGAATAATATTCCATGTCTGGATGTACCACAGTTGATTTATCCATTCACCTACTTAAGGACACCTTGGTTGCTGCCACATTTTGGCAATTATAAATAAAGCTGCTCCTTCTATGCCTAGTTTGTTGAGGGTTTTTATCATGAAAGGGTGCTGGATTTTATCAAATGCTCTTTCTGTGTCTATTGAGATGATCATATGGTCTTTGTTTTTGCTTCTGTTTATGTGACGAATCATGTTTATTGATTTGTATATCCTTGCATCCCTGGGATGAAAGCCACTTGATCATGGTGAATTATCTTTTTGATGTGCTGTTAAATTCAGTTTGCTAGTATTTTGTTGAAGATTTTTGCATCTGTATTCATAAGGGATATGGTCTATAGTTTACTATTTTTGTTGTGTCCTTTCCTGGCTTTGGTATCAAGGTGATATTGGCTTTGTAGAATGAGTTAGGGTGAATTTCCTCCTTCTCGATGTTATAGAATAATTTTTGTAGAATAGGTACCAGTTCTTCTTTGTAGGTCTGGTAGAATTTGGCTGTGAATCCATCTGGTCCGGGGCTTTTCTTGATGGGAGATTTTTTTTTTTTTTACTGCTTCAATCTCACTGCTCATTATTGATTTGTTCAGGATTTCTATTTCTTCTTGATTCAAGCTTGGGAGGTTGTGTGTTTCCAGGAATTTATCCATTTCCTCTAGGTTTACTTGTTTTTGTGTGTAGAGGCTTTTGTAGTATTCACGGATAATATTTTATATGTTTGTGGTATCAGTTGTAATGTCTCCTTTTTCATTTTTGATTGAGCTTATTTGAGT